AGGGCTGGGATTAAAGGTGTGCGCCACCAACGCCCGGCCTAATTTTTAAACCTTTTTGTTGCCAATGGAGACTAGAGGCCAACCTGGGGAAGTAAGTTCTCTCCTCCCACCATGTGGGGCTTGGGGGTTGAGCTCAGGCCCTCAGGTTTGGCACCCGGTGCCTTCACCAGCTGAGCCATCTCGTCCACCACCACCCCACTCTAACTCTGAAGTAAATGAGTTAAACTTTAAAAACAGCCAACAGTAACTGGCTATTTCATCAGATTGCCGGGAACCTCCTGGCAAACCTTGTTTGGAGTCAAAGCCCTATGCAGCATTGATCTTGTAACAAGTGTTTTCAGCACATTTTAACTGATTTTTGCTGTCATTATGAGATTACCCATAACTTCCTTCTCTAACCAGTTCCTCACAAACTCATCCCCCTAAATTCACTAAACTGTTTCAAAGTTATCCAAAAAGAAGCTGCTTCTGGGAGCTGGAGAGATGCTCGGGGTTATTAGGAGCACTTGCTGCTCTTGCAGGGGACCTGGTTAAGGTTCCCAGCACCTACACAGAGACTTACAACCATCTAGAACTCCAATTCCAGGGGATGCCATGCCCTCTTCTGGCCTCTAGGGACACCAGCTACACATGTGGTACACATACATATAAGTAGGCAAACACGTATACACACAAAAATAATCTTTAAAAGAAGAAGAAGAAAAAAAAAAGCAACTTGCTGTCACTCCTACAACCTCAACAAACTTTCAGTTATCCAGGAACGAGCAACCGTTAGACAGAAAACAATCTCAGAAAGTGGGGAGAGGACATTATGTTTCAGAACTCACGACATACTGTAAACTCACAGAAGTTACAGGAAATAAACTGCACTCTCACCAGCTCAGAGTGTTCCCAAGGTTGGTGTTATAATGGTACTTCAAAAGGAAAGGGACCAGATACTCTTCCACCACCTACAAGGTGATTCAACTAAACTACATAAACAGAGTAAGGAAGCCGGGCTGTGGTGGTACACACCTTTAATCTCAGCACTCTGGAGGCAGAGGTGGGTGAGTCTCTGAGTTCAAAGTCAAGAACAGCCAGGGCTACACAGAAAAACCCTATTTTGAAACCATCCTCCCCCAAAAGAAAGAAAAATATAGACCAAACTAACAAAGAAAAGCACACTATTTGTTTTCCTGCTGCTATCCCACCTGCTCCCCCGGAGAATGGCAATAGAAACACTGTGATTTGGTTGGCCCAAGCTGGGGGAGAGGAGGAGTGGGACTCCTGCCAGGCCCTGGGGACTGAACTCAGGGCCTTATACTCGCCAGCCATACTCTACCACCACTATATTCCTAGACCTAACTTTTTTTTTTAACTCACCATGCTACATTTCCATTTGTTAACCTGTTAGAGATTAAGAAATAAACAGGAACAAATTCTGCATGTAGGAAAGTAGATATCTGGACCGGGAGTGTCTACATTTCTGCAATATGTGTTCAAGTGGCAGTAAGATGTTGGCATTTAAGTTTAAAATAAACTACAACAGGATGTTTACTAGTTTTCAACATATATTTTTTACCAAATGAAATCATAGTCACCATGCATTTACTACTGCTTAAATTGTAAATTTACTGAGGAACGGAAACTACAACCCAGTACTTCTCCACCCTTTTGTCAGTTCTACTTGTGCAGAAACCTATCCTTCTCAGTTGTCTTCCTCTATTGCTCTCCACTTCATTTCTTTGCTGTTGTTGTTTGGTTTGGTTGTTTGTTTTGGGGAGGGTGGGGGACTCCAGACAGGGTTTCTCTGTGGCTTTGGAGGCTGGCCTGGAAATAGCTCTTGTAGACCAGACTGGTCTCAAACTCACAGAGATCCGCTTGCCTCTGCCTCCCGAGTGCTGGGATTAAAGGTGTGCACCACCACTGCCCAGCCACCCTTATTTTCTAAAACAGAAACACTCATGAGCTTGCAGTTCACCCATTTAGCTTGACTGGTGGAGCTCCAAGTCCCCAAGATCAGCCTGTCTCCATCCCCAAGTGTCGCTGTGGTCATAGCCATGCTGTGTCATACATGGCTTTTATGTGACTATTAGGGATTAGAACTAAAGTCCTTATATTTACACAGCAAGCCCTTTATCCACTAAGTCCCTGATCCCAAAGTTTTGCTTGTCTTTTTTATTTTTTGATTTTTTTGAGATAGGGTTTCTCCGTCTAACAGCCCTGGCTGTCCTGGAAATCACTCTGTAGACAGACTGGCCTTGAACTCTGAGATCTGCCAGCCTCTGCCTTCCCAGTGCTGGGATTAAAGGTGTGTGCTACCACCACCCAACTCATTTTACTGTTTAAAAGCAAATCCTGGGTTAGTGAGACATGTTAATCTCAAAAGATGGGGGAAGAAAGATCACCAACCCAAATAATCACGGCCAAATTAATTAAAGCAAGCTTTTTTGTGTACTTAGGCTGCTTTCCCGAGGTGGGGTTCAGAAGGACAGCATTAGATGTGAGAAAGACAAGGTTTTTATAGCTCAAGGGTATGTGGTTTCCAAATGGGGTATTTGGTGGGCAAAATAGGTGGGGTTACAGGAGCAGAACATAAGCATAACAAGTTAGTCCTAACGACCTCCTAAAACTAAGACATGATTGCAGGGTAGACATAACAAGGTAGTCATAACAACAGGTAGTCATAACAAGGTGGTTATAATAACCTTTTGAAAAAAAGGTAGGGTTTTAAGATGGTTATAAACAACTTTTTGAAACAAAGAAATGACTGCCATTACTTGAACAGGCAGTACAGAACCATTTGTAGCTAAGGTTACAGGTGGGGCATAGACCAACCCTTCAGAAACAGAGGTTTAATCATAAACAGGAATGAATCTAATTTGTCTTTACTATGAGGTGGATTTTAAGCCTAAAACGGAGCAGGTTCTTCAATGGCTCAGCAGGTAAAGCTCCTTGCCTTGAAGGCCTAAGTCTGTTACCAGGAACCCACAGAAAGGTGGAAGGAGAGAACCAACTCCACAAGGTACACCTGGACTCCTATCCCCAATAGCTTAAACTAAATAAATATAAATAAATAAATAAATAAAAGCTGGGTAGCAGTGGCGTACTCTTTTTATCCCAGCACTTGGAAGGCAAAGGCAGGAAGATCTCTTGAGTTTGAGACCAGACTGGTCTGCGGAGTGAGTTCCAGAACAGCCAGGGCTACACAGAGAAACCCTGTCTCAGAAAACCAAAAAAAGCAAATTGAGCCAGTTGTGCTACATAAACACTAAGCCCAGGAGTAGAAGCAGGCAGATCTCTAGGCCAGATCAGCCTGGGCCTATCTTTAGCAGTGGTTCTCAACTTTCCTAACATTGCAAACTTTGAATACAGTTCCTAGTGTTGTGACCCCCAACCATAAAATTATTTTCATCGCTACTTCATAGCTGTAATTTTGCTACAGTTATGAATCGTAATGTAAATATCTATGTTTTCTAATGATCTGTGAGAGGGCTGTTCAATGCCCAGGTTGAGAACCACTGATCTATAGAGTTCAAGCCAGCTAAAACTGCACACTGAAACCCTGCCTCAAAAGAATCAAACAAAGCTGGGAGTACTCAATTTTAATCTCCTTTAATCCCAGCAGAGACAAGTTCTCTGAGAGTTCCAGGACAATCTGGTCTACAAAGCAAGTTCCAAGCCAGCCAGCACTTCATGTCTCAAAGTAAAAAATTTTTTTAAAGTAAAATAAGTAAGAAAATTACTCTTTCATTTCAATGGACTTCATGTGGCAAATCACCAAGAGGTATTTAGGCACCCATCTACACTTAAAACAATGTGATTACAGAAATAGTTTGTGCACATTCATACTAAAACACACCAATATATTAGTAAGGATCTTCTCTAGTCATTACACTTCTTAGGATGACCATGTGTAATTGTTAAAATTAGAAGAAAAAAACAAGAAGTAAATTGGCCAGTGCCGATCAACTGAGGTTATATTGCATCAACTCCATAATCATTAAATCATTTAGGGGCCTTGAAGAGAGCCTTGCCTTACTTTTGACATGCTCACATACGTTCAGGCCTGCAATACAATGTACAATGTTATAAATCATTACTAGAAAGACTTAATCTGGCTGGGCAGTGATGTCTCACGCCTTTAATCCCAGCACTCCAGAGGCAGAGGCAGGTGGATCTTTTTGAGTCAGAGGCAACCCTGGTCTACAGAGTAAGTTCCAAGACTGCCGGGGCTGTTACATTGAGAAACCCTGTCTCAAAAGACAAGACAAACAAAAAACACTTAACCTAGAAAACAAAAAGACCCTTTAGAAAAAGTTAACTTCAAAAGTGAATGCCAAAATCGTTGGCATGAAAATAGTTCATTCTGGGTCAGTTTTACCTCAATTTGTAAAATGTAAACCTAGTAAAGTTACTAAATATACCAGATTAAGCGAATATTGTATGTTGCTTTGCCTCCAACGAATCCAGGTTTTATGTTCCCCGAATTCTAGAGCAACAACGAAGTACAGTTCACGAGTGCAGAAGTGGCAACTGCGGAGCGCTGGAGTACAAAAGAATACAATGTAATGCTGCACACCCTCTGGCCTACAAAGAGCTCACTGCAGCAGTGGCGGGAAGAGGACAGGAATCGAGGTTATCACGAGCGACTTTGCTTTTAATTAAATGTAGATACAACTGGCTTGCTCAAGCAAAAGACTGGTGGAAAATACACAGGCAAGCTTTTAACCCGTATAAGGATTCCGGGCATGGATTTAGTTGGATGACTCTCATCAACGACACCACAATGCCACCCCTAACCCTCTAACTTAAGTGTACATATATACTGGTTGAAAACGGGTTGAAATCCAACTAATCCACGTAACACGGCTAAAAGAAAAGGCACCCAATTTCAGCAGATCTTCGTGCGCCGGGGAACGCGTACCGCAACTATCCCCAGTTACTTAGTACCTAAGTAACCTGGCTACAAGCCGTTCCTTGTTTTAGCATGAGCTCAAAGGAGAGCCCTGCTCCCTAAGAGACTGGCCTCGCCCGCTTTGCAGGTCCTCGGCCTCCGCCCTACCCAGCCCGCCACCCGCGTCTGCAGACCGACCCGCAGGGGCCTTCCCCACACCTCGGCGGGCGGGGCCCCCGGCTGGGAAACGCAGGCCGGGAAACCCGCACCAGGGCCCGCGACCACGCGCGCCGCCACCCCCCGCGCGGGTCCCGGCCGGCGGACACCCGCCCGCCCAACCGCCGCCCGGCGCGCAGGCAGCCCAACCGCCGTCCCGGCCCAACCAACGCGGGAGGGGAGGAGAGGAGCGCATGGCCGGCGGGGCATGCGAGCCGCTCGGGGGGCGCGGGGCAGGCTGCGAGCCGGGGAGACGAGGCGGCGGCGCCGAAGCCCGCGCTGGAAGCGGGACCCGGGCAGCTTCCCGGAGGGGCCTCGCCCCTTTTCGCGAAGGAGGTACAGATGGTTTGACCCCCCACCCCGAGCGAGGTGCCTCGTCCCAGCCCCGGCTGGACTGTACCATCGGGCGGTGCCGCCGGGATTGCTCCCCCCACCACTACCATCAGTTCCCCCCCCACCCGGGTCCGCGGTCGGTTGGCCCCGGCCGGGCGCTGAGACGCAGAAAGAGCTGGGCGCCATTTTGGGTGGGACTAAGCAAAGACGAAACACTCTCCCAGGCGATGGGATACTCTGGACCCCGGTTTATCCGGTTCCCTTAATCCTTTAGGTACTTACACGACGTTGGGTGAGGGGCGTTGGAAGATCAGCGGGTCGCGGATCCTCTCTCCCTAGGGGTGATGGAAATCAAACCCCCCCGCCGCCTCCAGGTGGTTCTTCCCGCCGCAGAGTGGGAGCAGCATAAAAGGCGGGGTCTTATTAGCATAATCTGCCTGGCAACCTGATCTCAACGTTATGTGATTGGCTAGACTCTGAAAGTCCCATGCTGTGCCTAGAGACCTGGAACGCTGGGCCGAACTGACAAGCCCAGATTTAAGAGTCATGACGAAAATCCTGGGACGCTAATTCAGTCGGCAGAGAAGGCAAAAGGAGATTCACACAATGGCCCAATGACTGAAGGCCTCTTTATTTCGTGCTCTGCTGTTCATGTAAAACCCAATAGAAGAGCTGGTCTCTGGCGGTGCTCGCCTGCGTTTGTACTCTAAGCCAATCAGAAAGCTCCACTCTTTATATTCAGGGTCAAGCCCCGTCTGAGAACCCTGGTGGGCAAGTAGAGGGACACTGTCCGGCGTGCCTGGGTGTTCACCGTGGAAAACCCAATGCCCACCCGGGTTCCCAGCCCACCTGCCCTCCCCCACACACACTCGGATCCTGGAAAGCTCTGGAGGTGTGGGCGGTGCATCTACCCGCCCCAGCACGGACTTGCAGGGAACCGCGTGCGCCCGGGGGCTCACTAAGACTGGTCTTTCCGGGACCACAGAAACCGGTTAAACAGACTGCGCCCACCCTCCCCGTGCCCTGGGCCCAGGAGTGGCCTATCAGCCTTCCGGACCAAGGGGACACTGTCATCAGTCCTTGCAATCCTCTAAAGAGCCTACACTACATCTCTGCTTTTAACCCTTTACCATTCTGGAAAAGTGTTTTTCAGAAGCAGTCGGGGTGAGGATTTGTATCGGTTGGTAGAGTGCATTGCCTGGCATGCACTAAGCCCTGGGCTCAGTCCCCCAACCCCTCATATCCTGGAGGTGGAGGCAGCAGAAGCTCGAGACCTGCTTGGACTACTTGAGACTTAGGGGCAGGGACATTGGTCAACACTGAACAACCAAAAAATGAATGAACTCTCTCTTCTTTCTTAACTTAGGACATCCACATCCTAGTGTCCTTTAAGACTGCTTTCTCAGAGTACAGCCAAGAGCATAGAAAAAGCCCGGGCTTTGGAATGACAAGCTGGAAACTCTCTTCTGACAACACAGACAGCAACCCAATGTCAGAGACTTTGCTCTTTGTGTCTGCAGGGAATGGTTTCACTGTCGGTGACCTGTACTTTGCTGTGTTGCTTTGAAGATTAAATGAGATCATACTTTTAACATTCTCTTCCGACACTGAAACAGAAGGGTTAGCGATGATAAATAGCCTGCAGAGCGAGTGCCTTGTAGTCCCAGTTCTTGAGTGCAAAGGCAGAATTGTTTGAGGGTAATCTGGCCTACATAATTCCAGGCCAGCCAGCAGTATACAGCAGGATTCCATCTCCAAACAAAAAAGCCCTCCAAAGCTACTACTGCCTTGTAGTACTTTGGAAAAAAGTAGTACTCCGAAGCAAAAGACTTGAGGATAGAAAACACCCTCAGGGAGAAAAACTAAAGTCTGCTCAAATACATTGCTCACAGTTTTGTTTAAATGACTGAAAACAGTGAAAAGCTGAGGCCAGTGTTCTGTTTTTTAAACTCAAAGACACACAGCCTTGGGAGGCAGGAATTGATGAAGATGTCTCGAATTGTTCTTCCATAGACGCCTTTGGGAGCAGCCCTGGATGTGGAATAAAGGCTATCAGTAGCTAAGCCTTGCGGCTAAATTGAAAAGAAAGCAAGAAAGCAAGGCTGATGAGAATACAGCACTATTTTCTCTCCTCTCTGGGTCTATTAACAAGAAGTCATTTGCTTTTGGAATGGTTATAGTGGCTAAAGAAGTCTCTGGGATGATGCCTCAGTGCTGTAAATCGACATGGCCAGAGGGAGATGGGCCCTTGGATCACTGCCATGCCCTGTATCCATGACCTCTAGAGATCCTTTTGAGATTTAACCATATTATATCTTCTCTGATGGATTAAGAGTCTCAGAGGTCAGGTTATCAGAAATGGCACAAAGGACACTTACCAGGAGAAGTGGAACTATCTGTCTAACTGGGACTTAAATATATATGTTCTAAAACCTTTTTCATAACCAGAGTGAAATTACTGTGATATATAAAGAGGCCAATTTTTATTTCTGCATATTTCTTTTTCTTAATGTCTTAGTTATTGTCACAATTGCAGAAGTCTTCATTACTCTGTGTGTGTGTGTGTGTGTGTGTGGTATGTGTGTGTGTGTATACATGTTAGGTACTTTTAGGTCTCAAAACAGAGACAAATGGCTACCTGAGGTGTCCATTAACATATCAAAGCAGATGGTGGCCACCAGGTCTCCCTGTATCCTTCAGTCCCCACCTGTTGCAGGGTATGATTGCATACCCCACTGCCTTCCCTAACTTTCTCCAGCCCAGTGCCTGGGCTACCCTTCCCTATATAACCCAGCCATTTTGGTTACCTACACATTTTGGTTTACCCTTTACTCTCTCGGCCATTCTCTTGACCCAGGTCAACCTCTAGGTCAGCAGCTACTCTCACCTTCTCCCTTTCCACCCCCCCCCCTCCTCACATGGCCCAGCCTAGCCAAGTTCACTCTGGACGCTCCCAGATGTCTTTGCCTCTGCCTATGCTCTCCCTTTTATCTACAATAAACTTTCTCTTCCACCGTACCTAGGGAAAGAATCCATGTCCTTCCCTTTTCTATTTCTTTTTTTCATTTATTCGTGTACCTGTGTTGGTGCCTGTGTTCAGGTCTTATTCCTCAGGATGGCTACCCATCTTGTTTTGTAATTCCATTTCCTCTCTGGGACCTGATACTTACAGATTAAGCTGGACTGTCTGGCCAGTGAGTCCCAGGATCATTCCTGTCTCTGTCTCCAGGAAGATGGCCAGGCCATGCTTTTTCTATGTGAGTCCTGGGGTATGTATGTGTGCCTCCTGCTTGAGTGGCACACTCTGGACTGTGTCATTGCCCCAGCTCTGAAACACTTATTTAAAGCACTTCAGATTGAATTTGGGGCCTCTTGCCTGCTAGGCAAGTTCCTTACACTGACCTATATTTCCAGCCCTCTTTTATGTTTTTAATTTTCAGGTAGGATCTCATTAAGATGCCCAGGATGGTCTTGAACCCACTCTGTAACCTCCTGAGTAGCTACGATTATAGGCCTGTGCTATAGGTTTTGATGGGCACAAATATTATGATGAAGCGGTATCCTACCAATTTTTAAAATTTTGACTCAAGTCTCAGAAACCTGCTTTCTACATGATTTTTTTTAATGCACATCAATGAAATTCTCTGTGCAGGAAGTATTCATGGTCTGTGTACCAAGTGCCATTCACTGTTCTAAACAATGAAGATAGGAGAGAACAGAAAAGCACTCTTATTAAGATTCCAATTTAGGCAGGGCGTTGGTGGCACATGCCTTTAATCCCAGCATTCGGGAGGCAGAGTCAGGCGGATCTCTGTGAGTTCAAGGCTAGCCTGATCTACAGATTGAGTTCCAGGACAGTCTCCAAAACAATGCAGAGAAACCCTGTCTCAGAAAAAAAAATCCCTAGCACCTACATAAAAGCCAAACATAACAGTGTATGATCATAATCCCAGCTCTGGGACCAAGATGCAGGGGGATCTTGGATCCTGAACTCTCTGCTGAGCTCCAAATCTATGAGAGACCCTGTCTCAAAAGACATAACTGGCATTCCTGAAGATGACATCCAAAGTTGCCCTCCAGCCTCCACAAGTGGCATACACATATACTTTCACACACACACACACACACACACACACACACACACACACACACACACTTTTAACAAGAAGTCCTGCTAAAATACTAGTAAGAGTAGGGACTAGACTAAGGCAAAAGAAGATCAACAATGTTAAGATTTGGGGAAACAGCCGGGCATTGGTGGCACATGCCTTTAATCCCAGCACTCGGGAGGCAGAGGCAGGTGGATCTCTGTGAGTTCGAGACTAACCTGGTCTACAAAGCGAGTTCCAGGACAGGACAGCCTCCAAGACAATACAGAGAAACCCTGTCTCGAAAAACCAAAAAAAAAAAAAAAAAGATTTGGGGAAACATTCCAGCCTGTGAAAATGTTCTAAAAGTTAAAGGAGAAAAAATAAAATCACCAGGCCATTGAGATGGCTCAACAGTAAAGATATTTGCCATGCAAGCCTGATGACCTGAGTTTGATCCCTGGATCCCATCTCATCAGGTGGAAGGAGAGAATCAAACTCTACAGTCTCTAACTGCTGACTTCCACGGAAATGCTATTACAGGTGAAGTATGGTCTATCACCCCTTCCCCATCATGCAAGCACAAAAGTTTTTACCATGGCATGCATGTATTTGACTATGTATTCATTGAGGGCTTACTATAAATCCCAGGCGGCACTGCATCGGAGGCTTTGGAATTCATCAGCTGGCCTCTACACAAAAGGATAGAGCATAGAAACCCACAGCTTTCTGGAGCTTTCCATCAGTCTTAGAAGGAATGAGAAAAGCTGGGATTGCTGGAATACAGGGCAAAGGTCAAAGTCACCAAAAACAACCCAGGGAAATAGGCAGGGAACATCATACAGGGCTTTGAGGCTATGCTATTGTTAGATGTTTTGAATGAATTTTAAACAAGGAAATGAACTTTCACCCCTCTTTAAGACAACTGCTTCAGGATGCTTATATATTGGGGGAGGGGGCAGAGTAAGAAATAGGACAAGGAGTCTCTCCCTGCTAAGCAGGAAATGATTGGTGGTCTTGACCAAAACCGGAGAATGAAGGGAGGAAGGGGAGCTAGACTTACAAATGGACTAGATGTGAGACTGGGTGGTGGTTGGTGACAAGATGGTGACCAAGAGTGACTCACAAAGTTAGACCTGAATGACTAAATGGTGATACATTAACTGAGGGAGATGAGAAAAGAGATGGCTAGAAAATTCACTGTTCTCTTATATCCATGACAAATTTGAAAGCTTTTGTCCATTCCTTGAAGCCTGGTGGTACTCACCAGAACTCCGGAGGTAGAGGCAAGGAGAATTAGGATTTAAAGGGTAGCCTGAGTTACATGAGATCCTAACTCCAAAATAAGTAAGTAAAGTCAGGGGTGGTAATACATGTCTTTAATCTCAGCAGGAAGGAAGGCAGAGGAGGCAGATCTCTGTGAGTTCCAGGACAGCCAGGACTACACAGTGTGTCCCTGTCTCAAAGAAAGACAGAGACAGAGACAGAGAGACAGAGACAGGGACAGAAAGACAGAGAGAGAGAAAGTAAGTGAATGATGAATATTGTTTCAAATTAAGGAAACACTGTGGTTATTGGGATTCAAGGGAAAGACTGGGTTTAGAAACACAATTTTAGTATTCACCAGATTTTATTTTTTAGAAGTGGTCTCTAACCCACGCTGTTTTCTAATTCCCAGTATAGCTAAGGATGAGCCTGAATTTCTAAACCTCCTGCTCATACTTCCCACATATCCCATTTATACAACTCTAGGGGTCAAATCCAGGGTCTCCTGCATGATTGGCAAGCATTCTTTCAACAGAATTGCATCCCTGGTCCTATTCACCAAATTGTAAATTATGTTTAAATGTATATTATTGTGACTGGAGACACAGCTCAGTAGTGGAGTGTTTGTCTCAGTATGTAGGACCAGATGAAACCTAATTAGATACAGCCATTTACTGATGATTAGAAGGCTGGCAGGGGAGGGGGTGGTGCAGGAGACAAGAGTGTCTAGAACAGATCTCTGTGGAACTGCTGAATTTAGAGGTAGGCGGCGGAAAGCTGAGCAGGGCTGGGTGCGATGGTCCATTCCAGTCCAGGCCTGTAATCCCAGCCTTGGGAACTTGAAGCAAGATCTTTAAAGCCAGCTTAGACTACCCAGAAAGATCCCACGTCAAAATGGGAAAGTGGCTTAGTAACTAGTAGTCCTTGAGGCTCAGAAGGACAGGGTGAAGGAATCACTTGAGCTTGGGGATTCAAGACTAGCCTGAGAAACAGCAAAATCCCTGTATCCAGAAATCCAGCTGGGTTCTATGAGAGATGGTTCAGTGGTTAGCTTGTAGAGGACCCGAGTTTACTTCCCAGCACCCGCAATGAGAGCTCACAATGGCTTGTGACTTTAGTTCCAGGAAATCCAACCACCTCTTCTGGCCTCTTTTGCCACTAACACTACATGCAGACACCCACACATGGATACACATAAATACACAATTAACTGTTTTTTTTAGAGACAGGGCTTCACTATGTAGTCTTGGCTGGTCTGGAATCCACTATATAGACCAAACAGGCCTTGAATTTACAGAGATCAGCCTGCCTCTGTTGGGTTGCTGGGATTTTAAGACATGCACCATCATATGTGGCTCATAATTAATGCTTTAAGTTCAATTAAAATGGCTGAACAGGTCAATAAAACAAGTGAGCCAAACGGGGATGTTGTCTGAGAAACCAAAGGACATAGTGTTTCAAAGGAGAAGTAGCTGTCAGCCGAAGCAAATGTTACTGAGAGATAAAAGAGAAGACAGACTAGTCCCTTAGATAATAGCACCCTTAGGGGGGAATTAGGAAACACAGTAGGAGATGTCTGAGAAAAGCATAAGGATGGTGAGGGACATCTGTTGCCAGTTGTATAACAGATAAGACACACTACCAACAAATCAATTAACCTTCTTTTTTCCCTATCCACCCCCACCTCCAGTGTGCTGGTCAAACCAACTCACCTAGGTACAAGATGAGGCAGGAAGAGTCCCAGGTCAGCTACAGGGCAAGCCCCTGTGGAGAGACAAGAGCGGGAGGGAGGGAGGGAGGCAGAAAGAGAAGGAGGGAGGGAAGGGGGAAAAAGAGAATGAAGGCACTACATATGCTATTTATAAAAGATTCTTTTTTTAATGTTTCACAAAGCTAGCCCAGGAGAGTCTGCTGCCTAAGCACGATGCTCTGAGGATCCCCAACACAAAACACCAGAGCCACCTGGAAGAGGGGAAAGTTCTGATGGGCGGAGGAAGGGGGACACAAGCTGAAGGCTGGAGGGAAATGTCACTGTGCAGGGACCATAATCATGATTAAAGTTTCTGCCAGTCATGGTGGCATATGCCTATAATCTGCTCAGGAGGTAGAAGCAGAAGATGGCAAGCACAGCATAAGCCAA